GCACACCATCCACATGACCTGAATTTCACCAAGTCACAGGCAGAGCCGTGAAGATCTCAGGAGTCCTGCCTCTCAGTCTCTTTTTCTAACAACTAGTCAACATTGCTTGTCACAAGAAAAAAAAAAAAACACTGACCATTCTCTCAGACTCTGTAAAATATTACAAAACCCACACTGTACTTATTTCATGATTTTTTGCTGCTCTTACAATACAAATGCAAATACTCACCCACCTAAAGGAAATAAGTGGTTAAGGAAGGCCAGTATTCTTTGAAAAAGAAAAAAAAGTGAGGAATACCTCCACTAAATATTCACAGCAATCAAGAAAATGAGTGGTTATTCCCAACACCAAAGTGCAAATCAAGGTGACTAAACTTACTCTCAATGGAGGGACAAGATGAGAGAGACTGTCACGAAGATAGGCATAGTGCCTAAAGGTGTGATCTGAGAACAACGCTGGCATTGTTGGACAAGTTTTAGCAGCATTAAAAATGAGGACAAGAACAGCAATATCTAATTAAATTGTTAAGGAGAAAGGGGGGAAAGAAAAAGGTGATTTTAGATTCTTCAGAGAATGGCAATTTAAAAAAACACTGACACTTCCTTGCCTGGAGAGTATTTATGAAGTTCTGTACAACAAGAATGCTGAGTAATAATCATCATCATCAACAGTTGTCTGACCAAGTAAATGTGTGATACAAAGGCACTAAATGTTTCAGTGTGGTCCACAGACTGGTGCATCATCATACTGGTGAAGCCGAGAAGCAATGGAAGGGAAGAAGGCAAAGGTACATGCTATACACTGCGCTACATGGATACCATGACTGAACACTGACTGTAGAGTGACTCCACAGCCTAGAAGTCAGGACACTTATGTGAGAGCTGGGACACCTGGATTCCAGCCCCATATCCAATGAAGATTAGAGATTCTTACCCAAAGTGGAACAGCTCTAAAGAAAGAGGCTGACAGCACCCTGCCTCCAAACACCCTGTGGCCACAGGGGCTAGGGCAATCTTCTGGGAGTTGGAAGGAGGGAATCCAACTTGTTTCCCCTACAGCCTGCATGAATGCCCTAACCACAGGTTGGGTTTAAAAAAAAGTTTCTCCAATACATTTACTGTTTGGTGAATCTACTCCCAGAACATCTTCAGCTGAAACTCACTGACTAATTCAATGCAAATTTGCAAATGGTTTGGTTGAAATCAAAGCCACATTTTGCAGAGAATGACTTCTTCACCAACAAAGCACATTACTGAACTTTACTATGGAGTTCCTGGCTCCCAGTTCTGTGTTAAGACCAACACCTTCTTCTGACGCAGGGGTTGCACACACAGTCATTTGGGGAGAACTTGTTAACTAACCTCCTCTGAACTCAAATAAGAAAAAAAAATATACAACCGAAAGAGTCTTCTTCCTCTAAGTTCTTCTAATCCTGGATCAAAAGAAGTTTCAATTTATTGTATTTAACTGTCTGGTTAGGTATAAATTCTTCTCTGAACTAATTTCAGATTCCTTTCATTTCCCTTGGGAAATGAAATTTTTCTCTGCACATATTGTAAACAATATCATGTCTGCAATTAGACAAGTGAGGAGGATAACCAATAAAAAAAATTGTATTTTATATTCCATGTTAATGATGATGATGACGACAATGGTAACTAATTCTAGTGCTTTAGATGTTCAAATGCAAACAGTGACTAAGCATGTTAATTTGTAAACTTAAATTAGAATTTAAGGATTTCTTAAAGAAAACAGAGGCCCAAAGACCATGAATTACAGCACAAATGGACTTCACCCACCTCTGAATGAAAGAAAGTAGCGAACCAGTGGAATCTACAACAGTGAAATAAGGGGAAGTTTTGGCAAAGGTCCCAAACACCCCCCTCCTCAACAAAAGGGTTAAAGGAACCATACACCCTAACATCAGCACTATGATGGTTTGACCTGATGAACTACAAATTTCATGGTACCCAGTTTATTCCTCTGAGGCATAACAGGCTAATTAGAAGCAGCTGGGATTTAAAAGGATGGTTCCAGGTAGCCTGGTTATTTGAAAACCTGATCCACTCTTGGATGAGTAATAAAACTAAATGGCATAATAAATTCTGAAAACAGGATTTTCCCGCTGTAGGCTTTCAGGAGTGTAACAAAGTTTGAGAATTAGACAAATATGTACAGATTTGAAGCTAGCACAACCATTTGACAGTACAAAAAAAAAAAAAAGATACAGGCTGGGTCATCCATATCTGGCTCTGGCGTGTCGAAAAACGGGTGTGTACTCAAGAGCTCTGGGACCAGTGGAAGCACCAGAGTTGGATGTCTGCTTCCCAAGAACTTCAAGCATCTGAAATGCACAGGCAAGAACACTTTTAAATGAGGGGCCATTTAGCAAGACATACAATATTGTGATCTTTGTCTATGTTATTTACTTATACTGCAATAGCACCCAGAGGTACCAACTAGAACCAGGAATTACCCTACTCTGAAGAACAGTCTTAAATATTTCATTAATAGTTTATGAAGCCTAATAAACTGAAAGCATAACTAGAAAAAACACAACCCAAAAATATAACTAGAGGGAGAAAAAAAAACATCAAGCAACAGGCAGTAACCATTTTGGGGCAAGAAACTGTCTTACTACATGTCCTTAAAATACCCAGCATATTTTGGGGCAATATATTATGGAAAAAGTCAAATCCTAAATACTAGCAAATAACCACGCCTCCCTTTTAATTATTATATATATTTTAACAATAATGCAAGGTACAAGCCTATTAGGAAAAAAGCAGTTAAAAGAAATACATCTAAGAATCCCAACATTTCCATTTCAATCCAAGGGCTTGATAGGATTATGTCTTTTGTTTCTGTTTATTGCTCATCTTACATGAAAGACAAAACCCAGATGTTCATTATAATGCTCAACTAGAAAAAAACCCTGCATACAACAGGATAATGTACCCATAACCAATATATTTGTCAATTAGTATATGATGCAAAAAGTCAGAGGAGTATAACATTAATATTCAATGAATTCTTAAGTTACCAGAAAAAAAAACCAAAACACTCACACAACAAACCATAAAACGATTATATTTAAACTTATCAATAAAACTAACTACTCTGGAAACCTTGGGAATACTCTGAAGTGACTACTTATGATAAGGGAGTGATCAGTGGAGTCATCCTTAGTGGGATTCAGCTATATCAGGAGTAGGCAATTATTTGGGTGGGCAGGCCACTTAAGGAGGTCTGGTGACCTGCTGAGAGCCACAACTCCCTCCCCCTCCTCACCCCTGGCTGCAACCAGTGTGGAAACCTGAACCTGCCCTCAACTTTAGCATGCCCCCCCACTTCTGCAGCACGAATCCACCCATTCGTAGCTGTAACACATCCCACCCCTTAAAGTCCAGACCTGGCAGCTGCCAGCCATGCCTACAGCTGCCCAAATGTGGCCATCAGCTTCCAGGTCAGGGCTCCAGAGGGAGGAGGGTGCTGGGTGTACTACTCCTGTGGGCAGTTTCATGCTTTGCCATGGGTGGCAGCTCTGGCTGCACAGCACCATGCAGCTACTAGAGCCAGAGCCACCACCCCCTGCAGGCCAGATCTGGCCTGTGGGCCATATTTTGCCCACCCCTGATCTATAGGCATGCTGGCAAATATAGCTGGTAGCTAAATTCTATCTGAATGTCTACCTCAGGTATCAGTTAAACAATGTTTAGTACCATTTCTGTCCTCAGTTTCGACAAGGGTACAGGAAGTCACATCAGTAGTGGATGTGCTTCATTTAAATAAAACATCCAGGTATTAAAAAGAATATATAAGCATCCTAAGAAAACAAACAAGTGAGAACTATGCAGAAAAGCTATACTTACTTCCAAATGGACTCTCTGTCAGTAGGATACTTGGTTAGGTTTTTCAGTAGCTCCACAAGTGCAAGGTGGATGCCTTCTTTCGTAGAAACATTGGTGCAACAGAGTAGCTCGTGAAGTGCTTCCCGAATGTCTCGGGAGGAATCCTAAAAAACAAGACACATGTGGGTGTGTGCATATTTTAAAGATGTTGCCTCCTTTTATGTGTTTTATAGAATTAAGCCCATAGGTTCCCTGAATCCAACAGTTAAAGCAAAATATGCAAATAGGTCAACCAGCTCAACAGCTGCGGCTTCTACTGCTTTTGAACTCAGCCAAGATACCTTATATCAATGCTTCATTTATGGAAATGAATGTGAATTTCTCCACCATTAACCCTCCCAAGCAGAATGAGTACAATTGTTGTTAGGTAGGAGTAGTACAGTGCCCCCAAGCACAGTCTATGGCAGATATACAGAAGTTCTGGGAAACTACTGCATGGCTAAGATGATAATGGCTGAAAAACCACATTTTCCCTTTAGGAAGAAATGGTCCATTATTCACCATTTGAAAATCAATCCTGAGGGCCACTGAACAGGGAAAAGGCCTCTGTTCAGTTTAGTGAAAGATGCTGTTGGTCTTTAGTGGGTTTGCAAAGATGCCCCCAAGGACATAATGCAGCCTGGAGAATGTTTATTAGTGCTGATAACATACAGACAAGAAGGATGCCAAGTTCAGCTGGTGGGACTGGGAGTTCAGATTAAAAAAATATATATATTATATATGTATGCACAAGCTGAATAATGCAGTCCAATCACACAATACATTGGAACTGCAAAATACCTAATTTTTACACTGACCTTTTAGGATGAAATGACACTTCAAGAGGCACTTGGCTGTCAAGAAGTGCCATGTTAACATGCACTGTAGCACCAAGGTCTCCCAGCACTGTCCTTAGAAATGTTAGACATGATGCTGTGGCTGAACTCCAATTTGGATAATTACATTCTATCTGCCTAAAAACACCTTGCAGTTGCAAATCAACATCCCTCATCTGCCAATGCTTGGGGAGTGTTGCTCTGCACCATTGTATTTTCATGGTTTTACTCCAGAGCTGAGTGGATTGGTTTTACTCATGATCTGCTGAGCACAGACAGCCTAGTCAGCACTGTCTCAAACAAAGGAGCAGTGAGGCCTGGCTGTCAAGGAACACAGTCTAAGCAAACAAATCAATGTTCAGAAGCAGTGCAAGAAATGATCAAAGAATAGAGGCATGACAGTGATGTTCAGTATTTTTTTATTTGAGGGTTGGTAAATAAATGGCCACTGCTGAGTGGACTAAACTTCAAAAAGAAACTGTGTTCCATCTAAAGACAGGCTTCAAAGAGATCACAGTGAAAACATAAAACTCCAGGACAGGACACGTAAGAAATACGGCACAGTGACAAAAGTGGAGATGGCCATAAAGGGTTGGATAGTTGCAGGGCTTGAGAGGAGCTAAAACAGAGGGGAATAAGAGATCACAGAAGTGACAGAACTGAGCAGAAACAAGGAAGTGAAGAAGAGTCCTGGTTTGGTAAAGCACGCAAACAGCAGCCAATGGAGCGATCCAAGGAGGAGATAGAGGTAGCAGCAGCAGGTGACAAAGCAACAGAATGTGAGGGAAGCAGAAATAGGAACAAACAGCTCCAAACCTATCCTCCTCCGTGCAGTTTTAACTGCCTAAGTAAAAGTGATTTTTAAAATCACTTATGTTGGAGCCCAAATATGATTTAGCTGCCAAGTTGGGAAGTGTTAGCTAAAGCAGTCTGAGACCTTTCAGGATGAGAGAAGCTATACGAAGACCGCCTGTACATACCTTAGGAACACTGGTTGCCAATCAGGGAGATTAGGGGGTTGGGGGGGGGGAAATCGGGTGTGGGCTCTTTTCCCCACCCCCAGGACCAGGGGTTATTTTTAGCCCCGCAACCCCTCCATGCCCACACAAACACCAACCCCCACCGCAGCAGACCAATCCCTATCCCTCTATCACCAACCCCAACTTACTTGGCTCCCGGCATTGGCAAATACCAGCAATGCACTAGAGGCAGCTTGAAGAATGGGGGGTTTGGCAGGCTTGGGGGCTGTTTGGTCCTTGGGGAGGGGGAGTAATAGAAAAAGCAAAGCCCTGGGGCTATGGCCAGCAGCTGAGCTTTCCCAGCCCTGGGGCAATGCTGGGATCTGTACAGAAGTTCAGTTAAAATCAGTCTTGCCAGACCCAAATCTAAGTCAGATTACCTCCAAGGTCAATTTAAATTGGGTCAGCCATTTTTAGACCAATCTAGCCATCCTGAATTTCTCTACATTTCATACTTAGATCCACCTCACTAGGGCTTTAAGTGTAAGGTCCACACCCAAGCAAACAAAGTTAGATGGGGTAGCCATTTTTAAACACGATCTAACTTCCCCATAAACCTCCTTAAATGTCTGTATATACCCCTAACGGTAGCTAAAGTATGAAGAGAAATTAGAATAAAAGAAAAAGATACAGGCCTAAGTTTTCCAGAAAGACTAATTATTTTAAGTGCCTCCATATATGAATGCTCAGCTTGAAATACCTTGAAGGGGGTCTAAGCTAGGTACCCAAAATCTCTAGCCACATTTGAAAATTTCAGCTGTATTCTACATAGTCTAAAATTTGATTTTACACAGAAAAGGTAATAGCTCTAATACTCCTACAATGGACACAGAAAACCCCTCCCAAACAGAGTGCTTACCTCCAAGACAGCCAGCACAGTATCAAGCTGGTCTTCTCGTAGAGTGATGTTGTTGGAGATCTTTCTCATGGTGTGTATCGACTGCAATCTCACCTCTTCAATCTCGTCATTAAACATGTCTACTAGAAAATCAAGACATTTCTCTGCAAAAGAAGGTGAAGACTGAGCCAGCATACAGAGAGCCTCGACTGCAGAAATCCGAACCTCTGAAAAGAGAAGAAAAAAAATTCCATGTTATATTGTTCACTTTAACACTGGTCAAAAAAGCCATGCCATCTAATGGCCAAACTAAGCAAAACTCAGGCCTATGACAGAAGATTGCTAAGGAAAACTCAGAGATAATTCAGCAGGTAGAATTCATCCTTGCCAAGCTAGTACTGAATGAATGCCTCTAACCTGGAAGGTATCACCTTCAGCATAATACATGCTAGTATTTACAAGTGCTGCTAGAGGTACTGTCAGGCACAACACCAAGCCCTTACCTGATGCTGCTCGAGGCATACCATAGTTATTTGCAGGCCACATGCATTTCCCCTCCACCTCCCAGAATAAGCCAGTCAAAATTGGGATGCATGACACAGGCCAGAAAACTGATTTCTGTGGTGGATTGGCAGTAGTGGGCTGTGCTCGGCATGGACGTGGGGCAGACTCCCACCAGTCTCAGCATCACTCTCCTTCCACCTGCTGCAGGGCCAACCCACCTATAGGTTTAACCCTCTGACAACCACTGCTGAATTGCCAGCAGCTGTGTTAAGGAAGCAGCAAGGGGAAGGGAAGGGGAGTGACTGACAATGGAACTCCATCCCTGCTACATGTGCCCAACAGATCCAGCCTTGGCTGAGCCAATGCTGTGACAGGGAAGACTGGAGAAATCTTTTCCTACATTCTACATTCCCAAAATAAGGAGCATGTTTTCTGTAGGGCAGCAGGGAGAAGGTCTGTGGTATATGAATAAATGCAGCGTTTTGCAGGACTAGATTTCTAACCCCAGTATCCTGGTCCAACACATTAAGAGCATGGCATTCTACCTCCCTATACATGACCTGCCCTTTCAATTGGCTGAAGTATTCTTCACTTTCTTCTTCAGCTTGTTGTGCAGTACTCTACATAGTACTGAACAGTAGCATTCATCCAAAAAATGATTTCACTTCAACATAGTCAAAGCAAAAAGCTAGCTTGCTTAGTACTTAGAGCCTTTTCCCTTCTACTGAGAAATCCTCATGTGCATGATTAACATCCATATTATTAGAATGAAGGTAAGGGGGGCAGTATATTAGAGACTAACTGGTTCAGAACCATAAGCTTTCATAGGCAACAGCCTACTTTTAAAATTTGCTATCTGACAGCACTTGCTGATGTCACAGAGCAAATTCTGTATGTTGGCTTCTGACAAAGTTAAGTTGTTGCCTGCAAAGCTCATACTTCTCTAAACCTGTTTGTCTCTAAGATGCCACTCTACCCTACCTTCTGCTTGACTTCCGACTAACAGGGCTAACCATCCCTATATGCTATTGGACCAGAAGAGATCAAAATACTTAGAATTTATTCATAATATACAAATATTGTGTGCATCTGAAGAACCTCCAAACATAGGAAGTTTATGTGATGATAAAAGATTCTTTCCCTCCAGTTTCTGTGACATGTGCACCAGAGCAGAAACATAAGAGAACCTAATCTGACATGTCGCAACTTATTGTTTAATGAAATTTCTGTTTGTCATCCAAACTCAATTTGGGAACAATTAATTAGGTTTGGAAATAGAGCAGGTTAGGCCGTGTGATGAATTTGTTTTGATTTCTGATGCCTCTGATTATGTAGAAAGATGCAACAGAAGATTTCCCCCTATCCACCAACCTCCTCTGCAGTGTTAAGGCACCAGAGATGAACAATTTCACTGACAGTGCTCTGACAAGCTGGTAGACTAGGAGATGGCTTCAAAAACTGAACATGAAAAGCAAGGAAGCCTACGGTGCTGTGCATACAGTGGGATTGGGAGCAGTGGTCAGAGGTGTGATCACATTACTGAATGGATGTGAGTGCATTCCAAGTCAGGCTATTTTAATGACAAAAGTTCTACTGTTTTGTCACCGTGATGCCAACATTTATGGGCCAGCAGGCTTCACACAGTGGTTTATAAATCCAACACAACTGTTCCAAGAGAAAGAAAATCTGTTATTGTTAAGCTAGAAAGAACCAAGGCTTTTTGTCAGATCCCGGGATGAGCGTGGAAGTGAGAATAACATAAAATATTAGCTGTAATCTAGGCAAACCTATTATAGCAGTTGTGGGGTAACAAGACAATCCCTAGACTACAATTTTCACAGGGCCACTTTTTTCAAGCATACCCCTCTTCTACCTAATTTAACATCTGCAAAATAAACTGAAAAGCAGCATTCAACAATCACAGCTCAACAATCTTCAAAATACTTCCCAGACATTAACCTTTCACATATCACAGGACTGAGAAGTGAGAATTATCCCCAATTTACAGATAGGGAAGCTGGGACAGAGGTAAAGCAGCCTACCTGAGGCCATCAATAAAGTCTGTGTGACAGCCAAGTTGAAAAACCTGGATGTCCTTCTTTCCAATCCTGAAAGATGGCACGAGTGGGTGGGGTGGCAGGATGCAGGGTCAAGGTGGTCTGGAAATACTGCTGAAGAGCAGGGGTGTCAGACACATAGCCCATGGGGGTAGGGTAGGGGGAACCTTCCTGTGGCACTGGAGTCCCAGCAGCACCACAGGAAGAAACCTGGCACCATGACTTGTTCTGCAGCAGCAGCCAAGCACCTGGAACACCAGGCTTCTTCCCTAGTCCAGGACCAGCAGGAGCTGGCATGGGGGGATGGGGAGATCCATGGGTCTGATTCAGCCCTTGAGGCCAGACATGTTTGACACCCCTGCTCTACAGGATGTATCGATTTCTAGCAAGAGCAACAAATGGTTCCAGTTTAGGACGTAATCCAATTATTTACGTGAACTGGAAAACTCCAAATGGGGGTTTTCAACAGTGGAAGCAGCTTCTCTTTTTAAAGACACTTAACTAAGAATTAGCTGCTTCTTAAAAACTACTCATCTCTGGGTACATTATTGACTGTTTCGCTTGTATCAATACTTACATTACATTATATCAGCTGGGCAAAAGCATGAATAACAACAAAACCAGGAAGAAAAGCTGCCCACATATCATGGCCACTGTAATTGCAATGAGACGAGTTTTGCAATAAGGTATTTCACTATGGAAAATAAAATAGTTTGGGGCAAATGGAATTTTGAAAGGCTACAATACCCAATACATCCTGGACCTTAGATGCAATTTCTCCCTTTTCTACCTACCATACATCTCATCTTCCAGGCCATGGACAAAGGCCCCACAAGCTCCCGACTCAATCAAGTTCACAGCACCCGTGTCTATTTCTTCTTTGGGGGCATCATCTCCCCATTTTCTGCCACTTGAAAACTCCCCAGAGCTGTAGAGTTCTTTGGCTCGTTCATGTGCAGTTCGCTTCCTCTATACAAACAAATTTTACCATTGCAACCAACAGATTTTTAAAAAAATGAATGACTAATATACTGAATAGTCTGTCCTAATCCCATAAAAAGGTGTAGCCAGCAGTTTCAACGTTGATAATAAAGAGAGTCATCATTACCAAAACTGAAAATTACTATCTCCATATTTGAAAATTAGTAATCACAACAACAATTTGCTGGGAAAGGACAAATAGTTTAATTTATACATTGTTAAATGTCACTTTTATTACACCTGTTAAGCTGTGGTTAAATCCTAATACTGATGCTACTATTTTTGTCCATCTTACATGATTTATGACAACCTATTAATTAAAATGTCAGTCAGCATCTTGTAAAGACTTCATTTGAAGTGTATGCGTGTGTGCGCGCGTGCACGCGCACACACGTAATCTTAGAGTACCTTCCATACAAGGTTCCAAAGCACTTTACAAAGATTAGTGAATTTGGAATGATCACCATTTTATATGGAAAAACTGAACCAAATGAAGGGTTTCTCTCAAGATATTAAGTGAATCAATCATAGTCAGCAATAAAATCCCAAAGCCTCCCAATTCTCAGTCCCTTGCTTCATCTGCTATCACTTGAAATGACCAGCAAGACCCTGTGTTTCACTCAGAGGTGCTCAAACTCCCAACCATTATGCTCTGCCATCTGGCACACAAGGGTTAGGAATGGGTTAGGAAATTTGGTAACCCATTTCCCCCACTATCAAATTTCCAAAACCATGAAAAGCCCCAGGCCCCCTGCACGCTAGATCTGTGCACCCAAACCCAGCACACAGGGCCAGGTGGGGGGCAGGCTGGGCCCCAGGACCCAATCCCAGCATGTGGGGAGTGGAAGGGGCCACTGCCAGTGCTCTAGAACCCAATCGTCGAGCATGGGATCAGGAAGAGTACGGTGCCAGGACTAGCGGCCAGTCCAGCCTGCAGATGGCCTAATCTGGTCCACGGGGCCAAAAGGTTGAGCACTAATGGTATAGCTTGTTCCAAAAACTAGAACTTCATCTTCTTGTTGTCAATGAAAAGCCATACAACTACAGGGCTGTTAGAAGTGCTTGCTAATGTTCCCCTCACCACCAAAACCTAAAATAGCCTAAAGCAGTTTATTACAAGAACACAACAACTAATGAAACCTAAACTGGAAAATGTTTCATTAACTTTAATCTAACAGAAAACCCGTCATCATCAATTAGTTCTCACTTGCCCTGAGGTGTGAATTGGATAAACAAATCAGCTTGGCATTAACATACCTGTTGTACAATTGCAATACACTATGCATAGTACAAGATAATGAAGACAATGTTCACGTACCCTCAGATCAGACATCAGCTTCTTGTCAAGTGTCTGTTCTAAGAAATGGGAACTCACTTGCTGCATAGATCCCTAGAAAAAAATCCCAAGAATGACAAAGAAACACAATTTTTCGATTTAACACAGCAGAATCTGTTAACTAGCACTCCCAGCATAGATAGGCCCAATTTCCATGTGTTAGGGATGTTATGTAAGTACTCATCTCCACAGTATTTAGGAGAGTAACAGTGTGAGTATATGCTTATAAGTTGATTTTGCCCAATCTATTCTCTCCAAAATCTGTATCACTTGAGGATCACAAGTCTGGGCTTTAAGTGGTAGGATGAGGGAGTTGCGAAAGGAGTATCTGTTTGTGCTGGGGAACCCATACTCCACAGGAAGGACAACTATAGAGCCCAGCTTGGAATCCAGTTTCTAATCTCCTGAACATAAGTAATCCCCACCCCCACTTTCACCTTGAAAGTGCCTTCAAGTTGTGGCAAAAATGAATTGATCTGAACACTGGACTATGCACTCCCAACCAGCAATAAAACCCAATGTTCTCCTCATACCTCCTAAATCAAACAAACATTATGACCCTCTATGGAGATGATAGGAGAAAAATTAAACTTACCAACAGTTTAGCAGCTTGCACTCTAACAACCCATGAGCCATCGCTGACCATGTGACAAATTTTTCCAAATGCATCATCCACTAGGCGGATTTCTTCATTGGAAGATGGAATTGGGACAATGCTGATCAAGACAATAGCACATCATGTAAATTATATTGCTGAGATTTTGTATAAAATGTTATTCATGGTAAAAGCCATCAAAATAAAGAATAATGCTATACATCTACTGCTGTAACACAATGATTATAAGGAAGAGTTCCAAAGTTTTCTAGGCTAATCTCTCTGCCCTTTTTTGATTTATCAGGGTATAAGCAAGTATACAGGCATTTAATGTCCAACACTCTTTTAAATGGCAACTCTGTTTGACACTGAAAACTCAAAGAATGATACCTCCTTCACTTTTCTCTTAACTTTCATATGGTACATACCTTTCTGGATACAGCTGACTGAGGACCCATACCAAGTGAACTGCGGCACTGCGCACTTGTTCATAATCATCTGAGAGCAGTTTGCAAGCCTGCAATTAAAGTTTCCAAATCAAATGTGTTTTAAAATCCTCCACCAAGTTTATTAAAGTTCTCATCAATCTCTTATAAAGGCTGTTTTATCAGCTAGGTAAGATTAAAGGTCAAAATACATTGGTCTCCCCATCAAGTCCCAACCAGAATGTTGTCCTTTCCACTAATTCTATGTACTATCTATAGGCTCAGTTCGGTCCAACTCAGGAGAGCCCTTGGACTAACTGAATTAACAGAGAAGCGCGAAGAATGTTTGATAGTATCTATCCTCACTACAAGGATCTATTATTCAGGTTATTTTCACTTTCATAGGTCTTGATCCTGCAATCTTACCCATGCAGTGGACCCATATCACATCTGAACTTCCAAATGATTCTACGTATGCACACTGCAGGCTATAATTAAATGCTTTACTCCAACCCTTTCTGCCCTCCAGTAAAAATATATCTCTGAGCACAACAGGATTTGAAAAAGACTTGCATTTTCAAACCTAGGTTACTAAAGACAATGAATGATGCATGGAACTTGATTATATTCTCAGAAAGCAAATACCTCTCTGTTCATTGACTCCGAACATACTACTTCCCCTCCCCAGACTCTTGGATTGCACAGAAACCAAAAATAAATGCTCTAATATTAAACATAAAGCATTACCTGGCTGTAAATAGTCTGCTGCAATTTTAATCCTCTTTCATGCAGCTGCAGCTAGAGAAAAAAAAACCCACCCAATATTAAGATCAGAAATGTTAAGCAAAATGTTCCATGTTCCTTGCTACTCTCCTGCCATTTGATCATCTTTAGCTACTTACTCTTGTTGATTCCCTCTATATTTAACCAGGAATTCTACTGAGTTATTAACCATCTCATTTTATATTATAAGCAAGGCAATTTCTTCCTGCAAAATTGTAACCCCAGGTCTAAAATACCATATTTCTTTGAATACGACTCTCTTGAATTTATGACATACCAAAATTTCCTGAGTCTCAATTTAAGAAAGCAAAATGAAACAAAACCAAAACATTATAGAATCACAGAATCCTTGCTATTTCTATCAAATAAAGGCACATTTACGAGAATATAACATCTATGTTGCTTAAGACAGTGTTAGCTTTTTTAAAATTCTAACTTAAGCAGCATTTCATTGTAAAAACTGCTTCATATATTCAAAAGACTCCAGTAAATCAGATAGGACCTCCACCCTTCCCTTCATTCCTTTATAAAGGAAATATGTATTTGGTAAAGTGTTATCAGCTGTCATTAGAAATAAAATGTGTTTAATGTTTCTAAACTGGCTTTTACAAATGAACTGCCAATGAGATTACTCTAAAGAAAAATGATTAACACAGTAGCAAGAAAATGCAGTCAAGATTGTCAGAAGTGGGTAAGTAATTTTGAGTACCTCTAAAACCTGTTACAAAGTTTTAAAGAATAGACTATATAAAACATTTGTCTCAGATGGTTTAGGTAAGAATGATCCTACCTTGAGCAGTGGGCTGGACTAGATCAGGGGTGGCCAACCTGTGGCACATGTGCCACAAGTGGCACTGGTAGTGTGTGTGTGGGGCATACGGCAGACCAGGGGAGAGGCAACAGTGGCAGACAGGGCAGGGAGCAGAAAGCAGAGCAGCAAATCAGGAAGGACGCACAGGGCAGAGGGGAAAAAGCAGCACAATCAGGGAAGGAAAAGTGATGGGAGCATCACTCAAAGAATGTCTAGGGATAATTTGTGGCACACCTGCCAAAAAGATCACCTCCATTAGATTCAGACTCCTGAGGTCCCTTTCAGCCTTATTTTTCCATCATTCTATGTATCTAACATAACTCAGGCAAAGAAAGATTTCATGCCAATCTAAAAGGTGAGTGCTATGGTTACCGATACCAACAAAAACTGCAGCCACTACAGTGAAAATGTTATGATACTCTTTTAAAAAACTAAAATATTGTGTACGACCCTAGATCTCTCTTACACTTATTTAATATTCATTTTATTATTACTTGAGCAATGTTAATTTTCACGCTAATCAAAATAATTTACCACATCACCTCCCCGTCTGAATTCCTCTGGATGCATTTACAATCTTGTACAAGTTCTCTTGTAACCGGCCACCCAATTTACTCCAATGCACCGAGAGCGTTTACCATAGCTTTTATAGCTGCAGTCCTAACACGTGGGTCCTGGTCACTGAAGTGGTCCCCAATGATCTTCTGGACATCCTTAGTAGCTTGGCTTTCTGCTTCTTTTGTAACACCTTTTTCCACAGATCCAAGATAGCCTATTAGCTGGAGGCACTTGTTTCGTACACCATGGGAAGCGTCTGTCAGATGCTATATAAATAGGAGAGAACAAGATACAACTGGGAACTTTTATCTTGGCCTTTTCTTCCCTCAAGCAGAAAGACACTGGACAGAGATTAAGTCTCCTAATAGTTTTGTTTTAAGTTAAAATAGGGGTTTGTTTGGGGGTTTGTTTGGGGGTTTTTTTGTGGGGGGAGGGAGGGAAGGAAGATTTCATAGACATTAGGGCTGAAAGGGACCTCGGAAGATCGAGTCCAGCCCCCTGCCCCAGGGGCAGGAAGTCAGCTGGGGTCATAAGATCCCAGCAAAAAAAAAATCCAGATTTCTCTTGAAGGCGTTCAAAGTAGGTGTTTGAACCACCTCCGGCGGGAAGCTATTCCAGACCTTGGGGGCTCGGACAGTGAAGAAGTTCTTCCTTATGTCCAGCCTGAAATGGTCTTGCAGTTTATAACTGTTCGACCTTGTCATCCCTTGGGGCACTCTGGTGAACAAATGTTCCTCCAGATCCTGGTGAACACCCCTTATAAACTTATAGGTGGCCACCAGATCACCCCTGAGCCTGCACTTTTCCAGGCTGAAGAGTCCCATAGCTCTCAGCCTCTCGTTGTAAGGTCTGTTTTCCTGACCTCTGATCGTGTGTGGCTCTTCTCTAGACTCTCTGAAGCTTCTCCACATCTTTTCTGAGTTGTGGAGCCCAAAACTGGACGCAGTACTCCAGTAACTTCCCTGCAAATATTGGATCCTTAGCAGTTTTTCCTAAATGCCTCCTCCAACTATGCAGAGAAAGTGTTATTGGACATAAAACTTCTGTACATAATTTTAAACAATAAAACTACATTGTCTGCTTAGAGAGTTGCTTTCTTCAATAAGAGTTCAAACAGACAGTCTCATATAGCAATATTTTTAAAAACAAGTATCCCAGTTATGCCTGCAAAATCCTGCTCAAGCAGGACACACCAAATGAGCAACTACTCATGCAGCAATGATACTTGACACGTACAAATATCATCCCCACATTAGACTGACACTTTTATTCCCAACAGATTGCCTAGTTCCCAGCCTGTAGTCACACCCTATCAGTCTCTGAGTTTATGTTACCATAATTTATCTTAAAATATATTTTCAAGTTTATTAGTGCTAACAAGAATTTGCATCTTGCAACAAATTCACTTAAAACTCCAGTTGATTCGGGACAAGAGAGAGATGAAATCATTGCAGATATAGCTAGCACCCTAATAGAATATTAAAACAGAAAATCCTCCAGAGATAAATTCTCAAACAGTAAACATAACTAGGCACTATTTTACCAATCTTCCATATCAATGAAATATACCATTATTAAATCCCATTAATCCATTATTTTAAAAAATATTTTATTATAATATTATTTCCTTTTAGATATCCTCCACAAAATATTTCAAGAGAGGATTCATCGCAAGACAAGTATTAAAAGGCATATTTTAAAACATAACTAAAAGAAACAGCTCAATGACTCAGTTAATCTTTATAATGAAAAATAATATGCAACAGTTCACTCTGATTTTTATTCAAGGTGGCCTATACTCCATAGAGCATACTTCAAGGATACAGTTGTAACAACTGTTGAGTATGGTCAAGGTTTGATTTTTCAAAGTAAACAGAGAAAAATTAGACAAACTTAAATAAAAAATTTTGCAAAGGAATGCTCCACCAGTGATGCAAATTAATGTCAGTAAAGAGTACGTATGAACTTCCTATTTATTCATTTCCTGTACCCTTTTTGTAGAGGTGCACTGACATCTGGCCTAGTGGGGTGCTGCCCTGGGGCCAAACAGTTGCAAGTTCAAGCCTGGGTGTGCACCCAGACTCCCGGCTGGACCCCCACGTCCAGGAGTTGTTTTAATTTACTTTACGCTTAGGGCTGCCAGGCTCTGGAATGGACTTCCAAGGGAGGTGTGTTCTTGCCTACTTTGGGGGTCTTCAAGAGGAGGCTAGATAGATATTTGACTGGGGTGTTATAACCCCAACACTTGTTCCTGCCCAGGACAGGGGGTTGGACCTGATGATCTGTTTTGGTTGCTTCCGACCCTAAGCACTATGAAACTATCTATCTCAGTCCATATCAGATTGGCACCAATAAAGGGAAACATTGACATTATCGGCAAACAGCTTTTTTTGGCCAGTGTAGCTGATAAATGTCACCAATAAATACTGTGTGAATGAGCACAGCCATAGCATGCGCCCCGCCAGGAATGCAGTCTGGCAGCTTGGAGAGCAGCATCCAGCCAGTAAGTCTGTGGGAGGAAGGGGCGTGGGGGAGGGAGGGGATGGGGGAGGCGGGAAGACTGAGGCCTCTGTGGGGAGAGGGAGTGGGGCTGAGGCAGAGGCGGGCTCTGCCCAGCTGGGGCAGGGCAGTGGGCAGCCCGCCCTCGCCCCGTGCATAAATCTGGGGGGGAAGGGGGGACAGGCACATGCCCTCCATGCCTCCCCTGGGGACACACGCAGCAGTAGGAGCTGCCCATCCTCCAGTGTCCCCTCCCCACCCCCTGGACAATCCACCCACAGCAGCATCCCACACCCTGCCCAGGCAGCGCCTGCCCCTGCCCCACTCCCTCCCTCACAGTGGGGACCTAAATAAGCCCAATTCCCTCAGCCTCTCCTCACAAGTCATGTGCCCTGGCCCCCTCACCATTTTCACTGCCCTCCGCTGGACTCTCTCCAATTTGTCCACATCCTTTCTGTAGTGGGGGGCCCAAAACTGAACGCAGTACTCCAGATGTGGTCTCTTCAGTGCAGAATAGAGCAGAATAATCACTTCCCTTGACCTACTGGCAACATACCTACCAATGCAGCCCAGGATGCTATTAGCCTTCTTGGCAACAAGGACACACTGTTGGCTCATATTCATCTTACTGCCCACTGTAACCCCCAGGTCCTTTTCTGCAGAGCTGCTTCCCAGCCAGTCAGCCCCCAGCCTCTACCAGTGCATGGGATTGTTCCGTCCTAAGTGCAGGACTTTGCACTTGTTTTTGTTGAACCTCATGAGATTTCTTTTGGCCCAATCCTCCAATTTGTCTAGGTCACACTGAATCCTAGCCCTACCCTCCAGTGTATTTACTACTCTCCCAAGCTTGGTGTCATCTGTAAACTTGCTGAGGGTCCACTCTATACCATCTTCCAGGTTGTTGATGAAGATACTAAACAAAATAAATTGCTTGCAACTTCCTGTGATCACAACAGGAGTTGTAGCAATATAAAGATGCAGAATTTTGACTTTACTGCATGTTTACTACATCAGTAAGGTTATATTACCTTGCAGGCTACATCTACCAGTCTCATTCTGACAGCTGCATTCTCCGTGAGTTTAGCTCCAATCACCAGCAGCGTGTCCAGCAGCTGAGCAAGAACTTGGTGGGACTCTGTAAAACAAAACCGTGAAAGGCTCCCATATCTACTGAACTCATAAGTTTAGAGAGATCTTATTTGCAAGTAAGTATTATGCTTACTTGCAAATAAAGGGAAGGCTCTGCCCACCTGTGCAAGAAAGTATTATACTTATGTGTGTGTGTGTGTATGTGTGTATATATATATATATATATAATATTATATTATATATTTGCAAGTAAGTATTAAACTTATTTGCAAGTAAAGCAAATACACCGGAGTGTATTTACATTAAAGATGATCTCTTAAAATGACAGGATCAAAGGCAAGTAGGACTGGAAGGGACCTCACAAAGTCATCTAGTCCATCCCCCTGCTCAAAGCAAATGACTAAAATCATCCCAGCTAAGTGTCTGCCCAACCTACTCCTAAAAACTTCTAGGGATGGAGATTCTACAACTTCTCTAGGTAGCTTGTTCTAATACTTGACCCCCTTCATATTCAGAAAGTTCCTCCTAATCTCCAACGTACATTTCCTCCGCTGCAGCTTGAGGCTGTTGCTCATACTCCTGGTCCCCTATAGCCACAGAGGAAAGCACATCTCTATTCCCTCTATAATTGCCCTTCATGTATTTGAAGACTGTTATCAAATCCCCCCTCAATTTTCTCTTCTTCAGACTAAATATCCCTAGTTTTTCAGGCTTTCATTGTATGTCTTGCTTCCCAGGCCTCTAGTCATTTTTGTTACTCTTCTCTGGACTCTTTCCAAACTTAAAGCATGGGGTCCTAATCTGGACACAGTACTTCAAGTGAGGCCTTAGCAGGGCTGAACAGAATGAAATAATCACTTCCTTTGATTTGCAAGTGACTCTTGCAATATGACCCTGTATACTGTTGGTCTTTTTGCAACAAAAGCACGGTTGTCTCATATTTGACTTATGTTCTACTGTAATCCCAGGTCCTTCCCTGCATTACTATAGACTAGATTGGGGAATGCCTGTTTATATTTATGTATGCAATTATTTGTTCTTGCTGAAATCTCATCTGGTTCTGGACCCTAACCCTACCCTCCAGTGCCTCCAACTCAACACAACGTGGTGTCATCTGCAAATTTGCTAAGCATGTACTCAATTCCATGACACAAATTATTAAGGTATTGGGGGGGGGGGGACGACTTTCCAAATTATTTAATCCCAATGACTGGCAATGGGACTCGTGCTCTCAAATCAGTTTCTTGCTTTTTGAAAGCTTTCCTCTGTGGTTTTTAATTAGCACACTCAGGGAGATGGAAGCCTTTTAAAATTAAGTAGATTTTTCACAGCTACTTAAGTGGATAATTTGGGCTTTGTTCACTATTCTCAGAACAATGTTGTGGACAGATGCTCCTATGCAGCTTGGCAACTAATTTCTGATGTTTTATTCTGTAACAGGGTAAGAAAATACTCTATTTACAAACAAGATCGTTGCCTAAATACTGAACCTTGAGAACACAGTGGCTCTCACCCTATGTTGTTACAACAAAAGACACCTCTCCCTTACTATTTGCATCTCTAGCCTGAAGTTATATATATAAAAAAAAAAGTACTGCTGAATGGTTTGCTTGTCCTAAGAACGTGATAATAAGGTTTCTTCTATCTATAGCAGTGGTGCTCAACAATTCTTGCTGGAGAGCTGGATAGGCAGTGCCCCATCCATCCATGGGCCAAATCTAGCCTGTAGTCCCAATCTAGCTCCCAGGGTGGTTGCAACAGGGCCCCAACCCAGTTGCAAGTGGGGAGGGGAACTGACCCAGTTCCAACCAGGCCACACAGCTTGGGGTTTGGGAATTTGGTGGGGAGGGGAGGAGGGTGGCCACAGTAATAGCCACTGCTCCCCTGCTGCCAAGTTTCCTGGCCTGTGGGAAGTCCTGCAGACCAGATGCAGTGGTTCCAAAAGTCACATTTGCTGAACATCCCTATCTATGAAATACAGAATAGGATAGGGTGGAGGAGAAAGTTTTCCATCCGACAATAATCCTCACTCACACACTCCTGCTCTTTGTGCTCACGTAGGAGTCCTGCTGCCATTTCCCATGTATAAATATTAGAGGATTTTCACTGGATCCCCAACACAATTTGAGAAGTACAACTTACTTTCATTTTGAAGCGCATTAATGGCATCATCCATAATGCAGTCTGGAGAGAATCCTGCCGTTTTTGATAGCAAACCCAGCAAGGAAGCAATCTTTAATCTTACAGAGGTATCATTCTCCTGAGATGAAAGAAACAAGTTACCCAATGCATAAACTGAACACCATAATGTAGAGAAACAGGCTAAGACCCACATACAGTGCAGCACTAACCACTGAGCATGCAACATAACTATACCCCATTTCTCCAGCACACCCAGGCCAAATTCAGCTGATTATTGAGAGCTCTGTGGCAGTTCTACAGCTCTAGAGAATTCATCTACTGAACACAATAATAAAGGATACACTGTATTTTTTTGATTAGATTAGTAAGGGGCAGGCATAATGTAAGGGGGGGGGTGAACAAGGGCTGGGGGCAAGCCTCGTGCTGCCTGCCCTACTGCCTGCTCCCTACCACCTGCCCCCCCACTATTCCCTCCATTGCCTAGCCCCTTACTGCCCCCCACTGCCTATCCCCTTATCAGCTGCCCTATTACTGCTTCCCTCATCACCTCTCCCTCTACCACCTGCAGTAATGAGGGAGGATGAATTTAAGATGATCCCCCAATAATTAGATTCCATTCATGAAAATTATAATTGCATATATTTTCCATGTCCAGAATCTAATTATTGGGGGGTAGTCTTAAATTCAGGGTTGTCTTGTATTTGGGTAAATGTGGTACTTACAACTGGGTTCTGGGGGGTTTTGCAGCTGAAGGGTTGTTGTTATGGTACTAAATTCTTATGGTTTTAAATAGCTCTGTTTTACACTGTACATTTTCGGTATTCAAACAGTAAGAGAACACACCAGCATTCTACCAGTTGTTAAGGGGAGAAAAGAGACTTTAGAAGGCAGTCAGAGGAAGCTTGAATTTGAGGCACTCAGTAAGCATCAGGATAAAAAGTTTCTGAGTCTAGTACAAAGGAAGTCTTTTAGCAGCAGGGAGGAAGCATATCTTGTGCCTCTTCCCACAGAAAGAAGACAAGTGCCTTCCTGCATCCAGAACAATGGATAAGTATATTAGCCACAGCTTCCTGGTAAATTCAAGCAACAGTGAAAGTCCTTGTTGACAACTTCGTCATCATTAGGTATCAGTGTCAACTCATTTACAGTAGAACAATTTGCATATATAACAGACTTATTGGTTCAAGATGTCTAGAGGTAAGTTCTCTCTGCCATGAGGGTCTAAGAGAAATCACTTAGATCAGTGGGGGACACCTGTTTTAGCAGCCCTGCACACTCAAATTCTATTCCAATCTCCTTCCTCTGCATGAGCTCCTGCTCTGCCTTCTGCCCTAGCTGCTGCTGTGCTGCCTGACACCTCCCTGATCTGTCATGTGCCAAACAGGCTGCCCATGTCACTTGTGTCACAGGCTGGCCACTCCTGACCTAGATTATGCAGACAAAAAAGGCCAGAATTCTACATTTAGGAAGGTGGCCAAGTAATCAAGGGACCTCAAACACAGAATCTATCACAGGGCTTCAAATGAATAGACAACTACTTCAGTGTTCTGTTTCCAGCAGCAGTTTCAGTAGCAGATGCCCCATAATACAAAACAATGCGTCAACGGGAAGAAACGTTTACCTGACTCCAGATGGAGAATAGTGTATACCCTGAAAAATGAAGTAAAGTACCCTAGCAATGTGTTGCTTAACTTAGCTATTGGCCTCAGTAATACAAGCTGTACTTCCAGAGGTTACTACACAAGGTGCTTCCACAATTTCTTATGCTCTTCAATTAAGAGAAAACTATTAATTGAGAACAATGGTACTCAACCTTTTTTCCAGGGGAGGGGGCAGCGGCAAATGGGCAGTACCTGGTCTGCCCACAGGTCAGATGTGGCTGGTAGTCCTGCCTGCCCAGGGCAGGTGCAGCAGGCACCCATCCAGCCACACAGACAGGGGTGAGGGGCAACTTGACTCCACAGGGAAAAAAGGGGGCATGGCTGTGCAAAAAAGGGGGTAAGGCTATGCAAAACCCAGCCTGCATGGGTGGGGCCAGACTATGATTGGGCCACAACCTGACCCTGTGGGTGGGCAGGAAGAAGGGGGCATGGCCTGGCTCCAACCTGCTGCACAGGGCTTGGGACTTTGGCAGCAGGGGTGGGTAGCTGTATTAATAGCCACTGCTCCCCCACCACCAAATTTACCAACATGTTGGGAGCCCTGCAGGCCAGATGCAATGGCTCCATGGGCCACATTTGATGCATCAGCTGGAGACTGAGCACCCACAATTTAGATAATGGTGAACATGAACCATTTCCAACGTTTTTGACAATGTTTCATAAATGAGAATTGTGATTTTATTTTTTTTAATTTAAAAGACTTTTGAATTGATTTTCCTTTACTCCCAGAAAAGCCAGGGAAACCTACCCTACCCTCTAGGCCTAGTGATCACCTCATGGACCAGTACAGAAGTGACTTGTAGCCCCTCTTCCTGGTGAAGTGAAAGAGCTGGGAAAGGGTTGTCTAGACTGTTCTAGTTAAAACGGAGAGTCCTCAAAGGTAATATTTTCAAAACAGCACAGCTCTCACCCCATTTAGGCACCAAGTGAGTGGCCATGTTTTCAGAGGAGTTCAGCAGATGCCAGGCTCTTTGAAAAGTCTGACCAGGAGCACCGTAACCAGAGTTAGCGCATGTCGAAAACCGGCCCCTATTGCGGAGGCTCAGTACTGGAAAAACTGGCTTCATGTGCGGATTTAAAACGGTTCCTTCCAACACTGGCTCACTTGTCCTTATCTACACAGAATTTCATCTACCTTCCGATTGCTCACTGGCTCCCAACAAGATGATATGCATCTGAACCCTAGATAAGTCCCCTGAAATACAAAACCGTGCTCAATCTCTAGCCTGTGGGCCAAATCTGGCCTGAGCAGCCATGTCATCCAGTCTGTAGGACTCTTCATGGTGGGAGGGGAACCGGGCAACCTTAATTGCTGCTCCCCTGCTGCCAAGTTTCCAGACCCATGGGGAGCCCAGCAGACTGGATAGCATGGTTCTGCAATGGCCACACAGGGCACAATCTAGACACTGACTCTCCACATATCTGGCCCGTGGACTGGCTTCATGCTACTCACCCAGCCCACAGGGCCAAAAGGTTGACCATATTCTAAAGAATAATAAGTATGCTACCTAGACAGTTTCATTCAACTGTTCCTACTCTAAGATCACAAAAAAAAGAGAGAAAATCATGTTACAGGCAAAATGTTCCACCACCTTCTTAGGGTCAGGGCCTTGATATATTAGGTTCCCTACATTGTGGGGTTTTCTTTTTTCCAAGAACATTGTAAATTCATATTTGGAAAAGAACTAGTACAGGTTTCCCTCGCTTTATGCGGGTTCTGTATGTGTGAAATCGCTCTTATGCAATGATCCTTTTTATACCAAACGTTCATTATATGCAAGATAAATTCACTTTTATGCAATCAGGGTAGTGGAGGCCTGCAGTCAGTTGCTTTGTGCAGTGCATTGTGGGAGTGACGCCATAGACGGAGGAAGAAAAAATTGGGGGGGACTGAGCCGGGTGGTGGTGCCTGGGTCGGGCTACAGCACCAGCTCCCTGCAGCCTGACCCAGTCCAGTCCCATCAGCGCAGAGCCCCGACAGCTGGTGCTCGTGCTTCTGGAGCCACAGCTGTGCTTGTGTTTACTGTCTGCTGTTGGTGAGTACCAAAATTATCTTGTAAGAGTGGCAGAAGTGGGTCTGGAGGGCAGTACAGTTGAGCTCTTGGAAGTATCCCTATTTGTTACATTGTAAAGTAGGTCCCCTTTATGCAAATTCAAGTTATGTGCTGTTTTCCAAGAACTCGTGTACACCATAAGTGAGGGAAACATGTAGCTGATCATTTGTTTAAACAGAACAGGATTCATGGGGTTAAAAAACAGAGTTCGTTCTAAACCTCTCACCTACAAAATATTTTCCTTCCAGCCAGACAGCAGATTACTGGGCTGAAACTAAAACTTCCCTCGTGACTTCTTCAACAGGGCAAGTGAATGACTGATTTGAAATGAAACTGTTATAAGGATCTGCAGAAACAAAGCTTCAGCTTGCAATAAAGACCCATTATTTACAATAAGGCTATGATTCGCAAGACAAAGCTGAAGGAGGACCAAGGAGAAGACCACCATCTTGACAGCAAAATGTGTTATTTCTCTTGTTTTTTAATAAAACTTAACTTGAAGGGTGATGATGACAGAGACTAGATCGGCAGCCTAGAGTAAGAATCTGCCTGCTCACAAACCAGATACAGCAATCACTTTCTAGCTTCTCTCACACCAAGCTACCCCAATAACTAAAGCCTGACCCTGAAGAAAATAGCACATATTCTGCATATGCACGAACTCCTTCGCCTGTCTGCTGAAACAGACAACAAAAACACCAAGGTTGTAAAAGCTGCAGTACAATTCATACAGGGGATGGGCAGTGAATAAGGAAGGCTGGCACCTTGGAGGCTAACTGGTTCAGAGAGACAATCTTTTGCAGGTGACAAGCTATTTCATCAAACATAAGGAATGGACGCTCCTCACATCTGATGAAGCTGCCGCCTGTGAAAGCTGGTGCTTCTCCAAACCAGTTAGCCTCCATGTTTGAAGCCTGCCTTACCTAAAGCCTGATTCAGACTAACACAGTGCCTCTATACAAGCTCGTCAGACTCTTGCATAGAGTTATATGCTAACCTGTGGCAAGCGTCATGCTAGTGGCACGGGCAGCCTGCATGTGGCACGTGGCAGATCAGGAAGGGACACGCAGCATGGTGGGGAGGGACAGGCAAAGAGAGAGGGCAGGGAGCGGATGGCGGAGCCGCAGCCCGGCCCACCTTGTAGTAGTGCTCTAGCAGGATGCGGACGACGCCCTCGACGCTCTCGGCCTCCACGGGCTGGCGGGCGAAGTGCAGCAGGTGCTGCAGCGCGTCGGCGGCCGAGGCGGCCTTGCACAGGTCCACGTGCAGCGCCGCCGACTTGCTGGGCTTGGCCAGGCGCAGCTTCTTGGCCGCCGGCTCCTCGTGCTGCTGCGGGCGGAGGGCGGTTAGTGCGGGCGGGCAGACCCCCCCGCTTCCCTTCCCTTCCCTTCCCGTCCCTTCCCCGGCCGTTACCTGCACCACTTTGGTGAACTCCTCGTACACCCGCTTCTTCAGGTGTGCCGCCATCTTGGGCGCCACCTTTCGCCTCCTGCGCGGCTTGAGCCGCCGCCGCCACCGTAGCCGGCTTGTGTGTGTGTGTCTCTCTCTCTCTCTCTCTCTCTCTCTCTCTTTCTCAGCGTCCCGCAGCACACAGAGGAAGCGAGACGGGCCTCTCTAGGACCGCGGAGGTCTTCCTCTCAATGGTCCACGAAGGGGGCGGGGCTTGCTGTGGGAGCCAGGCTGTCCCCTTTGGGAACTGCAGATCCCCGAGTCAGGAGCTGCCTTTGCAGCCTGATGCAGGGGCAGGGGGTCATGCTAATGCTGCCACTGGCCTGGCTGCTGCACGCGTGGGGTGCACCACTGAGGCACCCTGTGCGTAGCACTAGGGTGCAAAAGAAGGGGGAGCTTGGGGGGGCGGGGGAGCTCCCCATAAGAGATATAAGATTTGGAAATTATAACCTAGGGAGGGGGGTCTCCGAGCAGATTGCTCCTTCGCTGAGCTGGATTTGTTCATCAATGAACTGGTTTAATTTTTTTTGCAGGTTCCCCCGCAAGGGTCCAAGTGTCATTCAAGCCCTGCCTGGCACGCTCTGCGCTCACAGCCGTGGCTGTCCACAAGGATGGAGCGCGTGGTCCTTGGCAGGCACGAATTCACCAGACACTGGAGAGAGACCCGCACCTCCCTTTAGCTGCAGCTGGCCAAGCTTTAACAAGCACCATCCAGGCGTGGTAGGAGATATGCCTCTTTCTTAGTAAATCAGTATAATTTGGGGGCTGGCTCCTCACTTTTCACTTCCCCAGTGTGAGGAGGGGGGGTGTATCGAGCACCACAAACACATCCCTGTCTCTGCACCTCCTCACGTACACTGAATTTACAGCTCCGTGCATCCTAATCAAGTCACTGCTCTGTGGGTCCTAGAGCCCCCACTTCATTTCTTGCAAGACCTGACTTACTTGTGTATGCTTTTGCCTGCATGGGGTTGCCAGGAGAGGGCTGTTGCTGCTCAATTCAGGGAGGCAGGAGGATCGGTTCCTGTTGCCATTGTTCTTGTTGGCTGGTTCAGCACTGTGCCCTGATCAATACCGGCACATGTGCTCAGAACGTGGTCTAAAGGTACAGGTAAAATATATACAAGATGGTCTCGCTTCGTGCCAATTATTTACAGTTTCCCCTAAGGCTTGGACAACCCGATGTCACTGGCAGTGTGCCTTTGATTGCAGGCAGGAAGCATCAGGTCCTGATCCTGATGTCTCTTTAAATGGACATCAGGTCCTGATCCTGATGTCTCTTTAAATAGGGAAAAATCCCAACCTCTTTTCAAATGGGAGGATATGGTCTGCAAGCTCGATGAGTGTGCTGCAGCAGGGGTTGGGCTGGAGGCTGGGTACATAAGGGTGAAGCTGTTTTGCCAAAGGTTTCCCGGCCTGATTCATGCGTGAGGGTTCAAGCAGCGCTCGGATGTACATGAAGAAATACTTAATTGCCTGTTGTTTATTGGTTGTGGTTGGTTGTTTGGTTTGTGTTCTCTATTTTCAGGAAAGGTTTGAAGCTGTGCAGAAGCAACCCAAACTCTCCAAAAAAAAGTCTGTTCTAAGATGCGTTGGGAAATTCCAGGACAGTTTATTTGGTTTTTGGTGAAATTAAGAAGACCCTTCCCTGGGAAACTATCTTCAGTTTCACAGGGAGGCTGGGCAGTCCCTCCATAAGACAGGATGCATAACCTTTTATAAATACCAAAATGATAAAGGGAACCCAGGTTTTAAACTTTCTGTTTTCCGAAGAGAGAGGCCAAATACCAGTTTTGACTCTGGAGCTGTGTGTAGATTTGAAACCCATTTCCCTCACACTTGGGTGTTTGGATTTGAAAGGATAGTTTCTCAAAATACAAGTCAGTCACATAGACTCATAGAGAAGATATTGGGACAAATGCATTATTGCTGCAAGCCCCAATCATGTCTGTAAGGGATACGGGACTTCGATCTATAATGTCTAACAATAATATCACCACCAGCATGACTTAAATTCCATGCTTGGGACGTGTCTTTCTAAACTTGAGGCATCCTTCGTGTTAGTAACAAGACCAAGAACTCAGCTTTTGGGTTTGCATCTGACCATTTTGCACAGCCCTGAGCTTGACCTACATCCTCCTGATAGTCCCCTCTGTGACATCCTATGAAATGCTGAGCTCCTTCACCTGTGGTTGACTGCCTTGAAAGCAGAATGAGCTCAGTGAACCACAGGACCAGGTTCTTTTCCCTTGAAGTCAAGGGAGACTTTTATTTCAATGTACCTAGGATCTGAGCTTAGAGCTCTGGACCTTAGAGCAACAGACCTTAGCACTAATTGGGAATGTTGCATGCTCAGGACATTGAGGGTCAGGGCCAGGATTTTCAGAAGTCACCAGGGATAGTGAGTGCTGATGAACACAGAGCTGTTTCCCCCCTCCCTCCTCCCCAGTTCCAGCACTCAGCATCCTTCCCCCCACACCCAGCTGAAACAGGAACTCAGAAACAGCTGAGAGGGGAGGAAGTGGGAAGCAGTGTCCCATTTCGAGACAAGAAAGATATAGTCACTCTGCTTAAAGGTGTCTCAAGTTGGGCACCAAAATTCATACATTAAAAGAAATCATAGAAATACAGGGCAGAAAGGGTCTTCAGGATGTCATATGCTCCATCGTCCTGCTGTGAAGTAGGAACCTCCCCAAGATGTACCTAGGCTCTCCCTGACAGCTGTCTGGCTAACCTGTTCCTAAAAACTAGACACAGCCCCCTAGGTAACTTGTTCCAGTGCTTAACTATTCTTATAGTTAGCAAGTCTTTTCTTAAGAGCTAATCTAGATGGCCACTGCTGCAAATTAAGTAGATGACAACTTCTATGCTTAAAAGACACAGAGAGTAATTCACTACCATCCTCTTTAGAATAAATTTCAGTCTGCTCTTTTTAGACTAAGCTAACCAGATCCTTTTAACGTTTCCTCTTTCTAAACCTTTTTAGTCACCTCCTAAAAAGTGAACTTCTTGCTTAAGCTTCTAAATATTATGGCACTAACCTTCCTCACACTTATTCCTGTTGTCCACAGTATAACTGCATTGGCTCAAGTGGAGTTATTCCTTATTCACACTCCTGGAAAAACTGCACCAGCAGTCAGTCCTTTTATACTGTATTTTACTTTTTTAAACCTGTAGTGTACAAGGAGAACAGATGAATAAAGAAGGCCCATCTAATTTATACAAAGAGGCTTTTAAACATATATTTATTTAGCAACCTGTAATACACGTTGCCCTTGGGGCAACCCATATTCTCAGAGTTAGAGTAAACATACCCACAAACTCGAATGGCCAGTCTAATTTTCCAGGCCCCCCTGGAGCTTTCCATTTCCTTAAAATCACCAACTGTGGCCTCAAGTAGAAAAATAAATACAAAATAAACTTCTGAATCTTAAGAATTTTTCAAAACAGTGTATGGGATCTAATCCTGCGCCCCTGCTCAGGCAAAAATTCTCCACTGAGTTTTGTTTTAGGAGCACTCCCTTCCAAAATCATTGTGGATTTTTCTTACAGCTCAAAAGCCTGCATTCATTTGCAACGTGACGACATTAACAGATGTCGCAAGAAAAGCAGCTAAACACAGCTGCACTCAAGAGGAGTGCATGTTCCTCTTAAATGACAAACAGTTTTTGTTCTGTGTTTGTACAGCACATAGCACACTGAGGTCCTTGTCCAGAACTGGGGCTCTATGGCCCTACTGCAAGACAATACATGAAAATAAACATAATTATATTTGCTTAGGAATAGCTTGTCAGCCTGGACAGCATAACATCTTTCTTTATGGTGAGAGAGGGCCCTGATGATTCTCTTTTTTAATGTGGGATCCTGGTATGGAAAAGGATGACAAACACTATGCAAAGGCATGGGTGCTCAACCTCCAGCCTACAAGACACATGCAGCTTGCAGAGCCATGGCACAGGAATTTGGCAGTGGTGGGGAGCAGTGGTGATTAATACCACCACCCTCCCCTGATGTTAGATTCCCAAGTCCCGTGCAGTGGGTTGGAGCTGGGCCATACACCCTTCTTGTGGGGCTGAGCCATGCCCCCTCTGCCAGACCAAACCCCCTTCCCCCGCATACCCGAATCATGGCTGAAAGGGGACCAGGCCATACCCTCTTCCCCTCATGGGGCTATGCTATGCTTCCTCCCCACCCTGGGGGGCCTTGCTGGGACCTGGCTAACCCCCTTATGTCACATGGCTGGATCAGGGTCGGGCTGCCCCATCCCGCTCCCCACACCTGGATGGGGCCGCATCTGACTTGTGCGTCAGACTGGCATCCAGCCCGTGGACAGACCAGGCACTGCCCATCCAGCCTGCTGGGCAAACTGTACTACAGCAGTGGTTTTCAACCTTTTTTCATTTGCAGACCCCTAAAAAAAAATGAATGGAGGTGCAGATCCCTTTGAATTATAAGTGTGGCTATTCACCTGCTTTTGATTGATCATAGTCATCTTTCAAGGACCCCTTAGACATAGTCTGTGGACCCCCAGGTGGCCACAGAGCACAGGCTAAAAGCCACTGTACTACAGCATTTAACTTCTCAGTGGAGGACCAAATATAACCATGGCAAGAATAAGCACAGCTCCCAGGAGGTTCAATGGGAGTTGCATGTGCTCATATGACTTTCATCTGAATATGTATAACTAATCTAAAGGACCTTCAGAGTGAAGTTATAAACAAACTAAGGACTTGGTGTCCTCCTGCATTTATTCTGTCCCACTAACACTGCCAGATCTGATGGGCTGCTCTACAAAGATGATCCCCATGCCCCTGCCACCCTGGAAATGCAACCTCATGTCTGGAGGTGGAGCTGCCTATTATCCTCCCTGTTCCTCAAAAATAAACATTATGGATTGGGTCCTTTGAACGTTTGCACTGCTCCCACAGTTGTTTCTTGCAGTCAAACTGGTTGGCAGGTCCCAGAAGGATCCCCACAGAGCCAAGGGGATCTTTTGGTGGCAGTGCATTGCAGAGAGTTTTCTCTTCTACAGCCAGTCCTGGCTTCTGGCATAGAATTAGGTGAGAGGGAAAAGGGCAAGGACAGTGCATCCCTATCCTGCTCTGGGTCCTGACAGCAGTTTTAATCTCTCAGGGCTTTTAGGAATGAAACTGGCTGCTCATTTGCACTAGCACTGCACATGGCACTCAGGTTTGGGACAGCACAAAGCAGGGGCTTTACCCCACCTTTAACACACGTCCCTCATTGGAGCTGACAACGCACAAGTTAAGTGAAATTTAGCCTATTCTGGATCTGAATTGGCTCTGCCAGGCCTGTCACTTCTCAGGAGAGCAGGCAGAAAATGACTGAAAGTTATAGCAGGAATAAGCCCAGTGGATAGCAAAACCTGGATATTTCACAGAGTTATAAACCCAGATCTTCATACAAATGATCATATAAATGATCTGAGTTTTAGTGTATCACATTTCTATTACCTTTCCATTAAAACAGTCCTGATTCCTCATTAACTTTGCAGAGGACATCACAAGAGATCCTTCCCCTGGCCCACGTTACTCTGCGCAAAGTCCACAAAGTCCACAAACAGACTTTGCGGAAAGTCCACATGCAGTTCCCAAATGGTTCTGCAGGAAGGGCACTGCTGGGCTACCATTCAAGGCTGTTTGCATTAAAGTCTCTTTGTTTTAATAACAATCCTTGCCAGGGGTGGTGTTTTGCTACCACCACGTGAAGACAAATTTGTAGAAAAAGTCATAGGATTTGAACCGGAAGCCTTTCTCTGCGACGTGGGGCTGGATGGAAACGTTGTACCCTTTGGCTTCCACATCCATTTTGATGCAGTCCAGCAGGTCAGAAATAGTTGGCGTTGCCTTCCAGGGGCCGAACTTCACCACCGATTTCTTATCCGTGTCCAAACTGTTCAGGGCTTCGTGACACTTGGCCACATCCTCCTCAGTTCTGACCACACAGACCATGACGCTAGACTGACGGGAAGCGACCGCCTCCGCCCTGGCGATGCGGATCATCAGCTCAATGTTCTCACTGTAGCTGGGCACACGGGCCAGGAACTGCTTCCTTGCCACCAGCTCACCAAATATCTGCGGGGAATCTTCCAGCTGCTTGATCAGAGGCTCAATGTCATAGTACAAGGCCTCTTTATACACATCCTGGACACATTGGGTGGGCACTTGGTTACTACGGAGATATTCCAAGATGTATTTAAAATAGGTCCCTGGCCTGTCGATGAAGTACCTCCCCTCAGAGTCGGTCCGGAGCTTGGGCTGGCCTGTAAACATCTCAGCCAGCTTGGAGCCTGGGTGTTTCTTCAAGGTACTCAGAGTTGTTATGTACATCTCCCCACCAACATTCAGCTCTATGATCGGCGACAACTACAGGCACAGGGACAAAAACACCACACTCATTACAAACCGCAGGCTGGTAGGGTCTTGGAGAAAAGGAAAAAAACCTAATAGCAGCTGGAGATCAGAATGACAGGGCAAAGGGCAGATGTGCCTCTGCCCTCTCCTGGAGGGACTCAGAGCAGCTTGTCTTTGTGTCAGAGGCCACATCCTGCTACCAGCTAACTAGGACTGTACTGAAGAGCTGACATTACTGTAGTGTCTCACCCATCCACACTCTTACCTGGACTTATGCTCACAACCTCCCTGGAAGCAAGGGAAGGTCTATTACGCCCACTTTGTAGATGGGGAATTGAAGGATAGAAGGGCTAAAGGGGGCTCCTCGGTGTTCCTGTTCCATGCACCAGACCCCAAAATAGTGAAGCCACTCTGGGTGCATCCAGATGAGTGTGCATGGGCATGTCCCCAGGGACAAATCACAGTGGCACATATTTGTGCTGCTGCTAGTTGTCCCAGGGGAACACCCCTACATACATGATCTTGCATGTAGCAAGTTGCCCCAAGTGGGCTGGCCTGGGCTGGCCCCAGCAGCCTTACCTGGGGTCCTGGGGGCCTCCCAGGGCTCCAGCAGCAGCAATCCGGGCACGCGGAGCCTGGTCGGTAGCTGGACCATGGCTCTGGCTGACCAGGCTCTGGTTTCAGGTGGGACACAATGCTTTTTTTCAGTGCACTTTTTTTTTTAAACCGGGGTTTCCCGGTATCTAAATTTGGTTCCACACTGCAAATATGCAGCACGGAGAACCAAATCAAATGCATGGGGGGTGTTTTGTGGTGCTTCAAAAGTCTTTGAGGTGCCACAAAATGCACTTGCGCACTCATGTGAATGTGGCCCCTGAGAGCATCCCCCATGATTGCTCTTCAGCATGCCAGGGACAGAGAGCTCAAATGTGTGTGGCTTGGGAAGCAGCTTTGCCACCTCAGGGCTGGGTTTGGCATCTGTGAACAGAAGCATGTGGGCTGGGAGAGCAGCACTCACTGGAAGCATGAGGGATAGTACAAACATGGCCTAAGTGACTGGCCCAAGGTCACACAGGAAGGCTGTGGCAGAGAACAGGACTGAATACTCCTAGGCGAGCACTGTAACTGCTGGACCATCTTTTTTTTTTCTCTATCCTTGCCCATACTCTTCTTTTGTTTAAGTGACAGAGGCATGTGCTTGGGGAGCAGGTAGATCTGAGCTCTCTCCTCTGTTACTGGGAAGTTTCTGTGGAGTAAATGTGTCAAGCACTGAGCCTCAGGCCTGATATAGTCGTAGCCACTCAAATCTGATTTTCTTGCTCATTTTGATGAGGTTTTTCCCTTAAAAGGCCAAACTAGTGCTGTGAGAGATATTACTTGTAAAAACCCAAATGGGGGTGACCTACTTCACGATCTTGTTATAACCTTAACAGCTGAGCTGGGGAAGCTGATCTCCTACCACTGAAATGCAGCTACTTCTGGGGCAGAAGACAGAAGCTGTTTATCAAGGCATCATAAAACTGCAATATGTTAGGACAGGAAGCAAAGTATAATTGTCTATCCAACTGAAAAGGCAAGGGGATTTCAGGAGGAAGAAAGTTGCTACTCAGATTTGAGTTTGTGCAGGATACTGGAGTTGTCTATCGCCACAGCCTTTGCAAAAAAGGCCCACAAATAATCTACGAACAGAAGCAATGCTGTGGTATATCCTCCTTTCTAACCATGCAGTGGGAGCAGCAGCAGGAGGCTTTTTTAAGTCCCTGAAGAAGGTAACAATTCCCTTCTCCCTTCCCCTCCACGCTCGGAGGCATGCTCCCTTCCTTTCCATCCCCCCATCCCCTGCCTGTTTGTCTGGGGGTGAAAGGAGCTGTTCTCCCACTCCAGCCAGGCTGTGCAGCTGGGAGCAGGAGATGCAGCCACTCTCGAGGTACCGGTCACTGTTCCCTCTCTCCCCTTTGTAAAATCTTGGATCCACTTCTGGCTTCTGTCTTTGAATGTCCAGTTCATTTTACTTCCTTCCATTCCCTCCAGCAGTACAAGATCCCTCAACTCCATTCAGTCCTGACGCCACTGAAAAACTGCAATGCTTCCCCCTCTGTGCACAGTCTTTAGTGCTCCCTGAGGCAAAAGCAGGGGGAGAAGTTAGTGACGGAAGCAGGGATTTTTTTACTCTATTATTCCTGTAATGCAAGTCACATGCATTATACAACCCTGCTGTGACCACAGCTAGCCCCTGGGAAGTCATCACCAGGCACAGATCAGCCTTTCTACCCGAGCTCCCTTGCTCTTAGTTTGCAGGTAGGGCTTGATTATGTGAACATCAACTTCAGTGATGCTAGTCAGATGCTTAAAGTACTTAAGGTTTTTACTGGGTCAAGCCCTGAGTGCTCAGCACTTTGCAGGACTGAACCCAGAGCCATGGGGAACATGGAGGGGGATATAAGGTTAGATCCAAAGATACAGTTATTTACCAGTTAGCAGTGAATACAGCAACAGACTGGGACTCAGCAGACTGGGTTCTGTTCCCAGTTCTGCCACTACCCTGTGAGGTGACCTTAGGCAGGTCACTCCCAGGATCTATGCCTCAGCTTCCCCATCTGTAAAATGGGGACAGTAATTCCAAAAACTCTTTGAGATCTACTGAGGAGAGGCGCTGCATGAGCACTGACACTGGCATGAATGAGTGAAACTACTCTCTGGCGATGCTGTTCAAAGGTAATGTCTGCACTGTGTCCCTGTTGCCCGGGAGAGGAGGGCTGCTCTTGAATAAGTCCCACCTACCTACTCCTGCCCAGCATGTGCCAAGCCCAGAACTGACGTGGTGAAACCACTGCAATCCCTCACCTGAGCTCCCTGTCTCTGGTGTGCTGGAAAATGGCAAGGGGGGAAACTTTCAGGGCAGCTTCACACCTTACAGGCTGGGGGGTTGTCTTTGAGAGCAGCTGTCCAGGGACCCAGTGCAGACATGGCCTAAACTCCAACACAACTTTGCCTTAATTCTTGACTGTGTAGAAGTCATCAATCAAGAAAAGCTCAGGTATTCCTTTAAGGGTCTGACAGATTTAGGTTCAAGTCAAATTAGTTTCTTGCTGTTCGGGGGCAGCAAAGACCTGCCCGTTTCCAGGGCTGTTATTGCCACAGCTCATGTCCCTGCTCAGGAATCCTTACGCTGCGAATCAACAGTGTGACCCAAGCAGGGTCAACAGAAAACACTTCTCACCCCCTTGCCCTGCTCTGGCGCGGGCAGATCCTACATCCTGGTGCAGGCAGATCCCAACAGCTCAGGGACAGCAAGCAGACAAAAAGCACCATAAGAGCCAGGAGGAGGTCAGAAGGGTTTCTGCTCCTCTCCCAAACTGCTCTGATCCCCCCAGGACAGAGCCTGGGCCAGCCCCACTCACCGTTTGCAGGTTGCTTGTGACTTGCTTCCCAAGGGACTTGTGCTCTGATGAAATGCTCATCTCCCCAGGGCCTGCAGGGCAGAGAAGGAGGGGAAAGCTCAGAGGTGCAAGGGAAACCTGTCTCCTGCTCAAGGGGTTACACAGCTCCAAGGCACTGGTCTAATTCCTCCCTTAGTGTCTAGGCAGTGGCTTGGGTCTTTTTTAGGTTGCTGTGTGTGAGTGCAGCCCAGCCACTGCTCAGTCACAGGTTACAGGTGTCAGAGAGGGGAGGGACGGCTGGTAGGAGGAAGTGTTTACTCATCAGTCCTCTAGCAACCGGCGCAGAACCTCGCAAGGGGCAGAGCGAACTTTGGCTACGTGCCCATGGCACCTCCCAACAATCTCTGTGCAGTAACGAAGCCCAGACAATTCCTCCCCAGCCTGCAGCCCAAGGCAGAGGGCAGACTAGGAGCACTGGCAGCCTCTGAGGGACTGTCTCACTGATCTGCTTATACTCTGCTTTCCCAGCTTCTGGCCTCCCTGTTTTAAAGATACAGTAAATGGCTTCATCAGAATTATTTCCCATTGCTCACACACACCACAGCCCACATGTTCAGACATGGATGAGGGTCTGTAGTCAGGCATCTTCACAAGTAGTCCTAGTTGCTTAAGTGCCAATGGGTGCCTGATAAAATTGTACAGATAAAAATCAGACAGGATGTGAAGCTAGACTCCAGCCTAAAACTTTTTGATGGCTCACAAGTGTTTGGTTAGTATCCCTATCCCACCCCACTCTCAAATGTCCAGGAAAGTGGAAAATGCTGAATTTTCCTTTGTGGTATTTCTAGCATAACTGGGATTAGGCAGCATTGGAGAAGTTGTGAAGGATTCTGCATTCATTATATTTCTCGGCTTATTTTTAAATCACAGAGGTTTGAATAAGGGTGAATATACACAGGGTCTCTGAAAGTTCAGGTAAGAGAGAAGTGGTTAGCTGCGTTAGTCTGAAGTCAGGCAGAAGGCAAGGTAGGCATGTACCTTTCTAGAATAACGCACTTAGAGAAGTATAGCACAAGATCTCTTAAGCAGCAGGTTTACGTCATCAGAAGCTGTGAAGGGACTGCAGGAAGCAGAGCTGCTAAATAGGAAACAGTGACTAGTCTACAACAGGTAGGGAAGGGAGAAGGAAAAAGGAGGGGGCACTGATGAGAGGCAAGGTGGGTAGGAGAGAGAAAAATAAATCCATTAACCCACTGAGGGGCATAGGGCTTGTAAAAGCAAATCAAGGTAATGGGAAAAGACCCTACAGCCCCCAGCTTGATCACCTCAGCCACATTATTAATGATTTCCAACCCCCACTGGAAACAACAACCATCTCAAGGTAGTCAAGAGGGACAAACCTGTCCTGGCTCATAGGCAACCCCCAGCCGCAAACAGCATCTCTCCAGCAACATGCTACCTAACTCCTCACCAAGGCACCAGACTCTGCTCCAGTGCAAGATGTCCAGTTGTGCCCCCTCCTCGACACGGCCCACATTAGCACTGGACCAAACAACGTGAATTATTATAACATCTGAGGGTCACTAACCTGCACCTTCACCATGGTCATATCTACCATCACCTGCTTACAGTGCCCCTCTGCTGCCAACACTGGACAGACAGGGCCAACCTTCTGTAAGAACGAACATCGATCCGACATAAATGCCACAAGGAGACAAGCCTGTGGCAGAATGCTTTAACCTCCCTGGACCCTCTATCATGGACCTCAGAGTAGCTTTCTTAGATAACAACACTTTAAAAGTGAACTTCAATGGGAAATTGCAGGACAAGAAATCATCCACAGACTGCAGTATGTTAAATTTGGTCTAACCAAGATCACAGATTCTGATCCCATTACCTGGATATGTTTTTACAAGTCCTGTGTCCCTCAAAGGGTTTTTTTTTTCTCCTACCTACCCACCCTGCCTCTCTCAGCAGTGTCCCCTGCTTTTTTCCCCAATCTTGCTTCCCTTTCTGTTGTGTCCTAGTCATTGCTTTCTATTTAGCAGCTCTGCTTCCTGCAGTCCCTTCACAGCATCAGATGAAGTAAGCCCTCTGCTTATGACAGCTTATCTCTGATTCAGTTAATCTGTAAGGTGCAAATCTACCCTGCCTTGAGGTAAGAGAGTCATGCACTTGAGTGAGTCACTCTGCAAACTTGATCACGCTCGGGCCTCCAGCCAGGTGAGAGTGCCCAGCATGAGGCTTCACAAGCCAGGGGAGAAGCGGGTACACTGGGTCTATGACTGTCATATGGGGGTCTGTTACTTCCTCCACCCTGATGCTGGAAGCCTCATGGGCCAACTCCCCCTGGGTCATCATGGGCACTTGCGGAAGCTCCTGTGAACCTTGCCCAGCCAGCCAACAGAGACCTGTCCAAGATAAAGTGCACAGAGCCTCATCATCTTACCTAAAATGCTGGCCCCACTCTGGGCCAGTCCAGGACCCCCACATGCCAGATTCAGTGCCTGTAGTACCTGCTCTGGCTGGTCCAGGACACATGCCACACATGGCATCTGTGCCAGCTGGCCTGGAGTGGACACTGTGTGCAGCACAAGTCCTAGAGCAACCAGAGCTGGTACTGGGTTCAGTATGCAGGGATGGGGGTGGTCCATGGGTCCCCTGCATCCCAGATCCAGCGCCCACTCTGACTGGTCTGGGACCCCTGCTCAACACAGCATCCACCCCAGACCAGCTGGAGTGGGCACCGTATGTGACTCATGTCCCAATCGGGGACTACATGCAATGCAGTCCCAGTCTGGTTCTGTATTTGGCATTGGGTGGTGGGTGGTTTGGGCGGGGGGGGGGGGGGGGGGGGAGCAGGGGGAGCCATGGGCCCAATCCAGCCCACAGGGCCAGCCCCATGCTGTTCATCCAGCTCACGGACTTATCCTGCATCACTCCTCTGGCCTGTTGGGCCAGATGAGTTTGACACCTGGAACACAATGGAGAAGAAAGTCTTGTGGGTGTACTTTGAGCTCCAGGGTCCAGAGCACAGGACAGCACACAAAGTGGGCACGACAGCTCTGATGCCATTGGGAAGTCCCAAGCAGGCAGACCTAGAGACGATGTCCTACATGGGCCAACAAAAGCTTTGCCTGGGCTAAATGCTACTTTCTTCTGCTCCCCCGCCCTACCAGTCTCTCTTTTCCCCACTGCGCAGGGGAGTGCTCAGCAAGAGCTTGTGACACCTGGGGAGGTGGTTGTTTGTGACTGTCTGCCCAGGGATTGGTGGGGGCAGGGGCTGTCGTGGCCAGCTGGGACAGGTGCACGGCAGGCTGGAAAACCATGGCAAGTGACTGGGCGGGGGTGTGCCTGCAACTCTACTGTATTGCTTTGTTTACCAGTTGCTTGCACCAGCCAGACACCCGGGGAGGTGCTGGAAGCTGGTGCTAGGCGGGCCAGCAGCCTTGGTCACTCCTCAGTGCCCGTTCCGGCCTATTAGGAAATGGGGGTGGGGAAGGATTGGGCTGTGCCCATGGATTTGTCTCCTCCCAGTTCTGCCCTGTCTCAGCAGCAAGCCATAGGGGGTGGGGGGGAGGGAAGGGAGCGGCAGGGGCTT